GGGCTGCTAGGTAATTACTCTACTTCTGCTTTTGGGGTCTAAACAGGAAGAATAAACTTTATGCTAGCGAGAATTCAGCATCGGAAGAAACTTTAAAGATGATGTAGGCCTACTTTCCCTCTTCAGTGTATTCTCTTATGCTCACAGGGATGCCGGCTTGTCCTCCCTGAAGTACAGCTCAGAGCCTGCCACTCCCCAGCCAATAACCAGCCAGGATTCCCCTTGTCTGTGCGACAGAGCAGAAGCTCCCCACTGGCACTTTCCTGAGCAGTCAGCCCCTGGTCCTGTTTCTTCTATACCAGATTCTCTGTATATTGGGCTGTGTGTGGGCTCACACCAGTGATATGGCCGTGTGGTGCCTCAGCTCCTCTATGCAACCAACATGGCAGCAGCACCCACCTGCTGAGGCTGTGTGCTTATGATCGCGCTCGCTGTTAGAGGGATCGCTCTTACTTCTGGGTCCTGCAGCATCGAAGGCATTGTCTGACACTTGACGTCAGCAGTCTTGGCACAATGACTTACTAGCCACTTAAGGGTACAACATCTTGGAGTCCCAAATGCTTTAATCTGTTAGGTGGGAATGATAATAACCACACGTGACAGGGATGTTCTATGGATTGGATGAGGTAATATAGGTGAAAACGATAGGGAACTAGATTATTTGGCATAATCTTCTATTCAGTGTACTTGACATTCCCCTCAAATCTTTTTAAAAATTTTTTTAAATAAACCATTTTATTGGGGGCTTGGTACTCTTACAGCTCTTATAACAATCCATACACGAATTGTATCAAGCAAATTTGTACATATGTTTCCATGATCATTTTCTAAACATTTTCTTTCTACTTGAGCCCTTGGTATCAGCTCCTCTTTTATCCCTCTCTCCCACCCTTGGGGCCCCTTCATAAATTATAATTATTGTCATTTCTTACATGGTCCACTGTCTCCCTTCACTCGTGTTTCTGTTCATGCCCCTGAGGGTGGTGGTTGTTAAATGTCTACCATTGCCATCAGTTCCCCTTTTCTCCCCCTCTCCCCCTACCTTCCTCCTACCCTTATGGTATCAGTACTCCCATTATTGTTCCTGAGGGTTCATCTGTCCTGGATTCCACGTGTCGAGGGCTCTTATCTGTACTCGTGTGCATGCTCCAGTCTAGCCAGATTTGTAAGGTAGAACTGGGGTCATGATAGTGGTGGGGGTGGGAAAGGAAGAGTTAAAGAACTAGAAGAATGTTGTGTTTTGTGGGTGGGTGCTATACTGTACCCTGGCTGGCTTGTCCCTTCCTTGTGACCCTTCTGTGAGGGACATTCCCCCCAAATCTTAACCTGCACTCCCAATCCCTCTAAAAAGCACAGCGTGAGCATGGCTTTGTTTCCTGTGAACTCTCCCAGATGCCATCGAGGTGACTCCCCTGAGACTCACCCATTTCATACCAGTCAGTTGCATGTGATCATAGCAGTGGCTGGCAGCTCTCACTCCTCTATGCTCACCCAGGGACACCCTGTGTGACTCTTCATGAAGAAACTTCAAGGGAAGGATCTCCTGAAGATCAAATGGCCCCTCGACTCAGACCTGCCACCTTGTCAAAGTCCACTAGAGGCAGAGAGGCCAACTCCTGGTCACAAAACCCAGGGACTGAGCTTTCAGCCAATGGGCCAGTTCATTGATGCATGCGGAGGCGTGTCTCTGCGAGGCAGAACAGATGCACTATCCTTGCTAGAGCACCTTTTCCCCTGTGGTTGTTAAGCAAGCAAGGCAAATACTCATGTTTGTTTATTGAGCAGAGCTTCAGAACGAGAGAATGATTTGAATGTATAATGGCCCCAGGCCCCAAAAGGTTGCTGAGCCCGTCTCTATAATCAGGCTCCAGAACTTCCCAGTGGACTTGCTGTGTCGGCCTGCCAGAGTACCCCTTCTGGCAGAGTTGGATGGATACCGGGCCTCCCTTCCCCACGCTCTCATGTCTGACCTATTGTTTCTGCAGAGAGATTTATGATGAGCATGAGCTGAAGAAGTTGGCAGCGTAGAATTAGAGTTGGAGATACAGGAGACGTGGGTTGTTTGAGCCATGGTGTGCTCCATTGAGTGAAGTCACTGAGCTATGTGGCCTGGGGCAGCGGATTGAATGTCTGCTAGCCTGCTTATCTAGCAAGTAAGCATCATGAGAGTGCTTTCCAGGCAGGCTCGTTATGAGGCCCAAACGAGCAGGTTTGTGCTTATTTACCTTACCCATTCCGTAACACTGATCGTAAGGTTTTGTGTCAATCTGGCTGGGCCAGAGTTCTCAGTAGTTCGGCAATTGAGGCCTCTCAAGTGATGTGATCTAACATAAATTTAATCCACTCTGGGGTGAAATCTGTGAACATTCAAGCAGCTGGGGGTTAGGATGAGTCCTCCCCTTCATCAGGTCACAGCCCTGATACAATGGAGTGGACATTTCCCAGGGGGAGAGTGGCCTACTCTTACTGAGGCAGACTCTGTGGGAAGACTTCTTCCCTTCGTGTTGTCTGGATCCTGCTCCTGGCTCGACTCGTCATATTATCTGCTGGCCCTGGGACCCCTTGGCAGCCTGCCATATGGCCTGCTGCTCTTGGATTCATCTGCCTTTGCCTCCAAGAGCATGCCACGGGGTCTTCCTGTTTCCTAGTTCATCTTCCTGTTTCCTGGTCCAACTACGGCCAGGAAAAGCCTCCAGCTTAACATCTGACCCACAGACTTGAACCAGACTGAACTTAACAGCTTCTCTATGGTATGGGCCATTTTCACAATGTAAAACTTTTCCTTTATGTGTGTGTGAGTGCACGTGCACACACACATGCCCTTGCCAACACATTCACCCCTAGTTTTGCTTCTCTAGAGAACTCAGCCCAACACACTAGCTATATTTTCTATCTGGTTTTATACGTTTATTTTTACAAGGAGCCCTGGTAGCTTAGTGGTTACACGTTGGGCTGTAACCACAAGGTCAGCAGTTCAAAACTATCAGCCACTCTACAGGAGAAAGATGGGCTTTCTACTCCTGTAAAGAGTTACAGTCTTGGAAACTCATATGCAGAGTTCTATCCTGCCCTATGGGTCTTTATGAATCGGCATCGACTCAGCTGTGAGTTTGGTTCGGTTTTTTATTTCGACAGGATATTAAAGTGACTCTTTTTGAAACCTCCTACCAGTTTAAAAGAAAGAAAAGAAAAGGAAAGGAAAATGTCAAACAATATTGACAGTGTCAACTATGAGGAGGCCTGAGGGCTTAGTAGGTTATGCGTTGGCCACTACCCCCAAGGTCAGCAGTTAGCCTCTGAAACTCAAAGTCCTGCTCTGCACTATGGGGGCACTATGAGGGCGATGGACTTAATGGCAATGAGTTTGGCTTATGTTTTTCCTCTTGACTACGAGGATAAGGAGAGGAATCCCATTTCAGGAAATATTATTTGTCTTTTTAAGGCAGGCAGAGCACTCCTCTGTCAGACTGTCCTAGGTGTTTTGAGACAGACCCAACTTTATGGAGGTTAACAGCCAGCCCTTGACCCCTCATGTTGGTGGGATTCCAAGCACCCTCCAACTGTGCTTCACTGTACAAACTTTGCATGACTCCAGCACTCAAGAGTCAAAGAGACGGTGGTCCCTAAGAGGGCCCTAAGTTTCCTGAAGATGCCCATCTTGAAGGTCAGTGCCAGCACGCCTGGTTTACTTTACACGGGACTTGACATGAAACACCTTTATGGACAAATGAGCCATTAGAGATCCTCAGAGCCCAGGTTATTGGTGCACTTCTGTGGCTCCCTTCTCAAAGGCCCAGCACGTGGACCTTACACATGGACTCAGCATGTTGTTGATAGAATGTTACCTGCTGGCCCAAACTCTCCAGCTCTTCTGGACAGCCCACCTGCCCTGGCAGAAATGCGATGTTCTCCCCCATGAGAAACCCACTGAGGCACAAGGTAGTACACATTTTCCCACTAGGCAAGCATTGAGCGAGTTGCTCTGAGTTAGTGCACCCAATGGCATCCCCTGGGAAGGTTCTCTCTGGTTACAGTGAATTTTTTCATAAAAGCAGTTTGCCTCAAACCTCATTTTTGGTGATGACCGATTTAAGAGAACAGCATGTGGGTGTGAAATTTTGTTTCCTGCTCTGGAAAAATGCTGCAGAAACTGTTGTGCTATTGAACACAGCTTACAAGAACAGTGCTATGTGCAAAACTCAAGTGCATGCATGCCTTTCTCATTTCCCAAAAGGCGAAATGTCCATTGATGACAAACCTTGTTTGTTGAAAGGACAAACTTCCTGAAAGGACACAAATGTCCGTTCATAGTGCATTTGGAGTTCGTTCCACCAGGTCAGACTATTAATCAGGCTTTTTATTTAGAGGTTCTGAAGAGATAGCGTAGCAGTGTGTGACAAAAAGGGCCTGATTTGTGGCAGATGGGTGCCTGGTTTTGCCACCACGATAATGCACCTGCTCACACAGTCATCTCAGTGTGTCAGTTTTAGACACAAAACAGCATGCCTCTCTTGCCCCACGCCCTGACTCACCTGACCTCGCTCCAGGTGACTTCTTTTTGTTTTTATGAATGCAGAAGGAAAGGAAAGGACAGTGATTTGATGACATAGAAGAGGTGAAGAAAAAAAAAATGAGGGAGGTGCTGTCAGCCATCCAAGCAGACAAGTTTGAAAACTGTTTCCAAGAATGGAATGGTAGATTCGACAAATGTATTAAGTGTAATGGAGAGTACTTGGAAGGTGATAAGGTAGTTTTGAAAAAAAAAACAAAAACATAGTGTTGAAAAAAATTTCATTTTGTGGGGTACCCCCTCGTATCTCCATTTTCGCACCCTCAAACCAACTCCTGGAGTTGGCCATTGTGAACGAGTGCAGTGCCTGCCTCAACTGGGGCCTTTTGGATTGCTTTTCCAACTCGGGCCGGCCTTTTTCCTCCGGCCCTTACAGTCTCTGCTCCCCCACCCCTTTGCATCCACAGTCAAGAAAGACAGTTCTCTGACATAAGATCTCTCCACGTTCGTTTTTATTTAAAGACTCAGAAACACAGGCATCATAGTTTTGTCATCACGGTCAACTCTTCCAAAACCACACACTGACATTTGTGTTTGACAAAAACATTTGTGTGTGTGTGTGTGTGTGTGTGTAACTGTGCAAAAATACAATGAATTTCTCAGTCACTCAGCTGAGCTTGGGGTGCACACGACTAATTGTCACATCACAAGATGGCCAGGTGAGTGCCCTTTACCCTGGGAAGTGCTTCCACACCATCTCCCCTGCTTCCCATCATGCCCTTCGCTCAATGTATGCCATCTAGGGACACCTGCCTGCTGCTGCTGCTGGCGCTGCTGTCTGTAATCTGGGTGCCCGCTGTCTCCACTCCTTGTGCTCTGAAAGCAAAGCACCTTAGGTGCCAAGAGGTTACGCCACGACTCCCTCGGATAACTTGGTGGGGCGTTTGGGCCTGACGGGTGTCAAGCGAAGGCATTAGTTCATCTTAACAGGCAGAGTCCTTGCAGGCAAGATGGCCTGAAGAAAAGACTACCTGGGCTCCTGCTCTTCCCAGAGGGTTCAATCTTCATGAAGCTTGGTTCTTGGCCTGTCTTTTCCAACACTCACCTTGCGTCTTTCACCTGCTCTCTGAAAGCTTGGCCTTGGCTCCCAGGGAACCCAGAGGGGAAGGCTGGGCCCTGACTCCAGAGAATTGTGCAGCTGTGGGCTGTTCTTCTCCCTCCCCAGGTGGGAACACAGCCACCCTCTGACTCTGCCAGCAGACGGAGCTGAGTGGGGTCTCCAAAGACAGGGGCACACTTGACCTAACCCCCCCCTAGGAAGGCCCTGGGGTGTTCAGGTGGTTCTGGCCTCCTGCCTTTCCTCACAGCCTGATTAGGCCTTGGGTTACATTTCCCGGTACGCACCATCGAGTGACCAGCTGCTAACCAAAAGGTTATGGGGTGAACCCACCCAGAGGCTCGGCGGAAAAAAAGACATGGTGATTTGTTCCCACAAAGTATGTAGTATTGGAGACCCCAGGGAGTTGCTCTACTCTGTCAAACACAGGCTGGACACACAGTGCCACCACGCCGTGAACAGCAGCTAGAAGAGAAATGTGTCCAAATTAGTCCATTCTGAGCAGATTTTCCTTGTTATCTTGGAACCTGAGATAATTCTGGCTTTCGTGGTGAACAAGCGGGTCAGTCCTTGTGCTAATTCATGCCTGTTCTTGGCGATGACGTGGTTTGCAGAACACACAATTTGCGGTGTTGGGAACTAATTTGGTGCCGCCATGGCGAGTGTGTGGCCGTGGTTCTGATGAACTCCATGAACAGGGCTCTCTCTGCGTAAACCGGACTTTTCTTCTTGGTTTCAAACACATTTCTTAAATCTATTTTCATCTAGAATGAGCAAATGAGCCTTTCTCTAAACACGATCTTGAGAGCAGGGTGGCCACCTGGCAGTCACACGTCGCCAAGTCTGGTCCCAGAAAAACAACTCTGAAAAGAAGTGTTCTGTGATTTCAAAGGGCCCCTGCCGGGCAAGACACCGTGCTTCCGGAATGTGCTGCTTCCCTGCGACCAGGGAGATGCTTGGGTTACCAAAGGCTAACTTATTCAGTTTCATTTCAGTCCGAGTGGTTCAGGGATGGAGGGAGAGGAGTTACAAATGGGAGCTTTGCACCGGTTCACACGTTAAGGTGTGGATCCCTTGATAATGCAGTTGCCTTGTGACAGGGACCCCCTTGTGGGAAGAGAGCGCGGTACGAACGAAGACGTTTCCTTCCACGCCATGTGGCTGAAAAGCTCACAGTCAAAGCTGCCCTTTCCTCCTCCCCACCCTCACCCAGCTCCTCTTAGGGTTTGACCAGTAAGCTTCATTCTCTCAGCCCCCCGCAAGGGTGTCTTGAATGGCCTGGCTCCTCTTGATTTTTCTTTTAAGTCTCTAGCGGATGAAGGTTTGCGTGGCCTGGTGTGGGAGTATTTAGTCCTTAAAGAAAACAAAACAAAACAAGCAGAAACTTCACCAGGAGGTGAATCTGAACCATGGTACAAACTGTACATGCCTCCAGCAAGAAGCCATCGTGGGGTCCCCCTAGTTGCTGTCATTCTCTCTGCCTGCACTAACGAAGGGAGGGGAGCCTGCCTTCGTGGGCGAGGGTGGACCTTCACGTGTTCTCCTTACTGCCACACGAAAGGCCATGACAATGACCCTTCCTAGCACTGCTTCCAATTCTTGAATCATAACGTTTGGGTAAGGTTTTAAAGAAGTTGGCTCTTTCCAAATTCTCACCTCCCTCCCTGCCTTCTCTCTTACTCCACGGGGCAGGAGCCAACATTTTTACTATTAAGGATGCGGGCTTCTCGGCCTTACTCCAAAATTCATATGGTAAATATAAAAATTCTGCCTGTTTGATGTCGCCACAGACGCCCCAGCCCCCCACCCCCTCTCAAGCTCAACCAAGTCCTAGTGTTTACAAAAAAGGCAGCACCAGATGTATGGAAAAATAGGCAATGTAGGACCTATTAGAAATATATAAAATCGACCAGCTTTACATGAGAAAGATAAGATGGTAAGAAAGAGGCGAGCGATGGGGAAGGGCGGCAGTGGTGACCGAACCAAAATGCGGTTGCTTCTAATATTGGCAGGAGATAAAGCCAAACGGGGGTGTGGCCCCAGCCCCCAAAGAGCCATGCGACTGGCTCCCCAAGCCAAACAGGCCAGTCAGCACCCTTGTGGCAGAGCACCTCTCCTTCGGGAACACGCTGGCTGAGTGGCCCCGGGCGGCTTATTGAGGTATATAGAGAGGGGGACCTAGCAACTCCAACTTCCTCCGGACCCCCAGGGCCGGCCTAGTAAGACATTCTGTGAGCTCTCGGGCCCACTCCCCCGCTCCTAGCCCCAGCCTGAAGGTGCCAACGCCCCCAGGAACCTTCAACCCCATCTTGCATAGGCAGCAAACCAGAACACCGCAGCGCGGCAATAAGTTACAGCAATGACATCGGCTCTCCTTTCCTCTTCTCCTTCTTTTTGAAAGAGGGTTTCTTGACAACGCACACAGAGGGGGAGTTGGTACGTCCTTGAAGAACCACCCCAGTGTGGGGGCGCTCGAGGTTGGGGGCTGCAGCAGGCAGAAGGCACTACCTTAACACCCCTCCCTAGCCCCGCGCCCTGGAGGAAGCCTCGCCCCATGCCCCCTCCCTGTTACAGGAAGGTGGTGCCCTTCTGCCCACGAGGCTGCTCCAGGGGGCTGTGTGCCAGGGCTGCTGGGGGCAAGTCTCCATCCTCGGTGAGCAGGGGTGCCGGCGGAGGGCCGGGCCTCAGAAGCTCTCCACGAAGCTGCCCGGGAAGAGGCCGGTGCGGCCGTTCCTCTGCAGGGTCCCCTTGTACCAGCCGTCCTCCCGCTTCTTGTGCACGAAGACGATGTCGCCCTCCTTCAGCTCGATCTCCGCCTCACTCTGAGGGGGGTAGGACACCACCACGCGGTACCTGGGGGGCGGGGGGAGGGGGGAGGCAGAGGAGGAGGAACCAGAAGCCATAGGTGAGCCTGAGACTGCGGAGTAGGGCTGCCCCCCTCCCGGGTTCGTGTCATTGTTGGGTGGGGAGAGGAGAGCTGAAGGGGCCCATGTGACGCAGTGAAGTATGCATTAAACGCCAGGCCAGTAGTTCGAACCTACCTGCCACCCTGTGGGGAGAAGAATGAGGCTGCTTACTTCCATAAGGATGGACAGCCTGGAAACCCTGAGGAGCATTCTACTCTGTCCTGTGGGAAGCTTAGGAGTCGGAGTCCCATTGATGGCAGTGGGTTTAGTTTGGTTCAAAGATTTGAATCTCTCTCTCTCTCTCTCTCTCCTGGGGAATCATCTCAGGCACCCATCTGTGCACTGGAACACCCACCTTCTTGATGAAAGCCTCCCTCACCCTCAGTGCAGCAGGCACAACCTCCCAGGTAGAGTTCAGCCAGTCACTCTCCCTGCCCTCAGACTGTGGTCTCCCCAGCAGCGGGGGTGCCCCTTTCACCAGCCCCACCCCCCACCTCCCCCGACCCCGGCAAGGACAATGGATGAGGAGTCAGGACATGCGGCAACAGTCTCCTTAGTTTTGCTCTACTGTTTGGGCTAGCTGTTCCGTCCTCTCCAAGCACTGCTGACTTGGTCTCCGGTACTGCCTACCTCCTGAGGGGCTGGGCAGCCACGTGCTGTGTGAGGTTCTTTGCTCCCAAGTATGCTCCCAACATTATAAACAGTGGTCTCCTTAGCACTCGGACTGACCCCAGGTGGTCCATGGGGTTCAGCCTTCGATGCATCTCATTTGCATGCTTTCTCCTGCTCCCCTTCCCACTGAACCTCGGCCCTTCCCTACACACACACCCCACCCCCACCTCTGTAAGTGTCCCTGGTCAGACCAACGTTTGCATAAACCTCTGACCCAGAGTTACAAGTGTGGAGACATGCCTCTGCCCACTGGTGACTTTGGGGTGTGGCTGGCCCTGGGGTTCATGCAGGACCTGTGGCTGGCAGGATATGTCGGGGAGCTCTCCGCATACAGAGCTTCCAGGATCGTGAGACACCGTGTCAGGCACGCTTATAGCCTGCGCAGGGGTGGTTGGACCAGCAGGGGGCAGTGGCTACAGCGAGGAATGAAAGCTGGCGGGCACCCACCCGCACACCTGCCACACAGGACTGGCCTGGCGGGGGTGGGGGGTGGGGGTGGTGGGGGTGTCGTGCTGATCCAGCCTTCTACTAGAACACCACCCCAAGGTGCTAACTCAGGTGTCAGCCTAAAAAGGAGCCCCAGTCAGTGACTGTAAACTAGCAGCCGCTCCTCGGGAGAAAGATGGGGCTTTCTACTCCCGAAACAGGTACAGTCTGGGAACCCACAGCGTCGGGTCTACCCTGTCCTAGAGTGTCAGTTAGGAGTCAGAATTGACTCGATGGCAGTGGTTTGGGTGTATTTTGAGACCCGCCTAAGACTGGTGGTTGAACCCCCCCCCCAGCAGGGCTGTGGGAGAAGGTCCAGTTGCCTGATTTGGTGAAGGCTAAAGGCGAGAAAACCTTCTCGATGGAGCGCCTTTCCTTCCTTCCCTCCCTCCCTCCTTTTCACAGTTGGCGGGGTTTAGCAAGTTCACAGGTGACCACAAGCCAAGATCAGAAAGCATGAAGGAGGGAGTCTTTGGTCCACAGCGGTGCCTCTGTTCAGCCATTAGCCAAGTCTCTCTGTGGTTCTCTGACTCTTGGTCCACATGGCCTCTTGGCCTCTGCCTTGTGCCCACCCACTGCCCTGCCTCACAGTCTCGTGGTCTCTGGTCTGAGCACCGCAGCTTCTGCGGCCTCCACCCCTTCAGACTGGGATGTCACACCGCTCGATGGGGGGACAGTGGAGTGAGAAAGCTAATGGGGAATTTCCATGAGCTTTTTGGAGACCCCTTGCAGTCTACAGCGCACAGGAGTAGGACTATGAGTCAGACCTCACTCCGTGGAAATTATTTAAAGGGCTGGAAGTCCCTGAGGGAACTCCTCTTGCTACAGAGACACGTTTGACCAAGGCGTCGTCAGCCCAGCCCAGCCCTGAATCTGGCCCCGCAGCCTGTGACGGCCTGCTGGATGGTCCGCAGTTCTGGGGGCTGCACCCAGCTGACAAGGGAATCGCTCCACAAGGTGCCTATAATAAGCATCAGTCCAGACCGCTGTCGACCCGCCCGCTCCGGGCGAGCGCTTCCGACCTCACGGCTTGAAATACCACTCATATTGATGGCTTCCAAATTGGGACCCACAGCCCAAGCCTGCCTGGGTCACCACAGTTGACCCCACTTCAGTCTGTTCTCAACTCATGGGCCAGAGGGATTCGCTGACAAGTCACGTCATGTCCTTCCTCTGCTCAAAGCTCCCCAGTGGTCACCTGTCACTCCCAGGACAAGGCCAGGAACCCGGGGCCTGAGCCCCCCATGGCCACTCCAGTAGCCTCTCCAGTTAGGCTTTGCCTGCTCACTCCAGCATGTGGGCTTTGAGCCAGGCCTTGGGCACCCCAGGTGGCCCCACCCCAGGGTGGGTGCATTGAGTGTTCCCTCTGCCTAGAAGGAGCACTCTGTCACCTTGTCAGGCGGCTCTAATGTCTACCCCCTACCTGCCTTGCCCCGGGGACTTGCATCCAGCATGCTGGGCCCTCTGTCTCCTACTTTCCTGTATCGTCTGTCTCTGAACACTGGGGCGAAGGCCCATGCCCACGGGAACTGCTGCATGTTTTTTGCCTCTTGCGTTATTGTCAGCATCTAGCATAGTCCCTGGCATGCGACAGTTGCTTAGCAAATAGCTGTTGGGTAACTTCACTGTTGAATACATGAAGGCAGGAAGGCTAGAGGGTAGGAGATGGCGCAGTGAGTGCCAGCCAGGGGCCCGAAGCTTCTGTTGGGGGGTGGGGGTGGGGGGGATGGTAGGGGATGAGGAAGGCATCCTGACACTTGGCGGCTGATTCGGCTAACCCTGCAGCTCCACCATCCTCTTCCTTATAAATAGTTCTGCCTCCTGGCCCGGCTGGCCTGGCTGGCCTCGTGTCACTGATGGGCCCAGTCCAAAGCGGTCCATCCATCATCTTGCTCCTCGACTGATCAATCTGGCTGTGGGCAAAGGCAAGTCATAGGAGCTGAAGTGTGCACAGCAGGCAGAGCAGCTGAGAGTAGTTTGTCATGCTGTCATCTGTCCTGCAACGTCCGGAGCTTAGGGCCCGAGGATGGGGGGCACTGGCGGATTGGGGAGGAAGGTCCGCCCACTGAGAGGCGGGCACTGAGCCCACCAGGGCACCCAGAGGATGCCCCTCTGGCTGTGCCCTGGCCCTCAGGCCTGCAGACAGTGCGCTTCTAATTGTGGGGACTGCTGGACACCCTTCAATCCAGGTGGAGACCTCAAGGTAGGGGGCAGCTGAATGGCCCTGGTATATGGTTGTTGGGTGCCCCCGAGTTGGTTCAGGAGAACAAAACCACTGCCTGCTCCTGCGCCATCCTCACAACTGTTGGCACGTTAGAGCCCACTGATGCAGCCACTGCGCCAATCCATCTTGTTGAAGGCCTTCCTCCTCTTGGCCACCCCATCCACTTTACTAAGCCTGATGCCCTTCCTCAAGGACTGCTCTCTCCTGACATGTCCAAACTACACGAGACAGTCTCAGCTTCTTGCCTCTAAGGATCATTCTGGCTGTACTTCTTCCAAGAGAGAGTTGCTTGTTCTTTTGGCAGTCCACGGTACTATCAGTATTCTTCCCTTGCATCACAATTCCAAGGCATCGGTTCCTCTTCCGCCTTCCCAGTTCAACGTCCAACTTTCACACACAGATGAGGCAACTGAAAATGCCCTGGCTTGGGTCAGGTGCACCTTAGTCCTCAAAGTAGCATCCTTGCTCCTCCACACATTGAAGAGGTCTTGGGCAGCAGATTGACCCAAGGCATGGCGTCCTTTGATCTCTTGACTGCTGCTTCCATGAGCACCGATTGTGGGTCCCGGCAGGCCAACTTCACCAGATGGAGTTGTGTTCATTGCCCCGGGGTGCCAATGATGAAGTGCTTGGGGGTTAGCAAAAAGGTTGGTGACGCCAGCCTCCAGGGGCTCTGTGGGAGGAAAGTCTGGGGATATGCTTCCCATAGCATATGTGTGAGGATGGTGGTGGGGAGTTCTACTCCGTCACACGGGGTCACTAAGAGACAGCATCAACGTGGAGCAGCAGTCCCCAGGTGGACCTTCCCAGCTCTCTCTTCACTCAGTGGCTCCCTCCTATCTTTCCTTTTCTCTTCCACCACCTTCCCAGGAGAACTAAAGAAACCCTCTGACCAGGCTTCCTGCCAGTTTGCACATGCTATGAGCAGACCTCAGCGGCCTCCTTCCCTGAGCCATAGCCAGGACTGGACCTGGATCCACGAGAAAAAGCATCCTGCTCTTGTCCTCCTCCTTCGGCCTGGCTGCTCCCCAGCTAAAGTGCTGGCCTGTCCAGGCGGAGGGGCATGGGAGACCTCTCCCACTCGGTCTTTCATCGACATAGACCGCTGGTGCACCCTGTCAGCCACAGCCCCACCAAGAGTCCCTGGTGCAAATCATCTGGGTCACCCAGGCAGCACTGACCTGTGGGGTCTTCAGTGAGTTTGCTATGAGTATTTGGGTCTTAGAAACCAGGAAACGATAAACTAATGATAACGAGAGGGCCCCTAAGTCAGCATTTCTTGAAAGGATGCTAAATGCCAGGATCCTGGAGTCAGGTTGCTTAACTCCATTCTAACCCAATTTGACACCCGCCCTGGGGAATAGGGAGAAATGTAAAACGCACGGCCGTCGAGCTGATTCTGACTCATTGCCGCCCTACAAGACAGAGCAGAGCTGCCCCAGTGCGATTCTCAGGCTGTACATCTTCAAGGGAGCAGAAAGCCTCATCTTTTTACTGTGGAGTGACTTGTGGGTTCGAACTGCTGATGTTATGGTTAGCAGCCCATGTCAAACCCACTGCGCCAC